CCCCCCCCCCCGGTTGAGAAGGACCAGGCCCAGGGCGGCTGCCCAATCGAGCACCGACGCTCCCCTGGCGTCCTCACGCGCAAACCCCCAACGAGGGGAGGCCGCGTTGAAGTCCCCAGCCACTATGATCGAGGCATCGGGGCGACGTATCACCGCCGCCCCCACGCGATCCAAGAGTTCCTCCAATTGCGCAAGGGGTCGGTTAGGAGAAGCATACAGCCCCACTACCATAACTGACCCCCAGTCTACCGCGACAAAGTTCTGGCCCCTACAAATACCCGTTAGGGGGGAGCACCCCCCCCCCGGGCAATTGCCACCGAACCCCCACTGCTACCCGCCCAATCAGAGTGAGCCGGAACAGAGTAGGGCTCGGCGACAACCCCCAATCCCGCATCCATGCCCACCATGCTCTGGACAAAAAGGTCCTGAGCACGGCGGGCATGGTTTAAATTCGCCTGCAGGATAATTGCAGGAGCCATTACGAGGCCCTAACCTCCATAGGGGTTGTTTCCGCAGCTTCTTCTCGCCCCGCAGCCCCTGCAGCCCCGGACAGGCGCTCCGCCGCTGCCGCCTTGGGGCGCTCCGCCGCTGCCGCCATGGGGCGCTCCGCCGCCGCCGCCATGGGGCGCTCCGCCGCTACCGCCATGGGGCGCTCGACCACCCCTTCCCCCACCCCCTTTTTGGTAGCAGTGCAACCCTTTCCTCCCAGCCTGTGCCCCGCAGGGTTTCCCCTATCTGCACATATCGCACAGTGGGCATCGGCCGTGCACTGATTAGCCCTGTGCCCCTCCTGTCCACACGTGTAGCAGCACCCGAATCTATCCCGGGTGCTCCTACACGTGTCTCTCACGTGCCCAAACTCCAAGCATTTAAAACACTGGAGTGGGCGGGCCGGAAGGGTGTCAACTCTCGCCGACACCCAGCCGACCCTAATCCGTCCTTCACCCGCCAGCTTACGGGCACATGTAACAGGGCATCGCGCCCATACCGTTCCCATGCCTCCCTCTACTCGCCTGATGTTCCCGACACGTATAGCATGAATATCCCCTCCCCCTACCTTGTGTATTGCCTCCTTTACCTCCTCCGGGGTGCAGGAGTCATCAAGGTCCCGGATTCTTACCTCGGCCATTTTCACAGGCCGCAGAATCCTCGCCTCGCTGCCTATAACCTCCCTTAGTTTAGCGGCCAGCGCATCCGCCTTATCAGGCCCACCCGGGCCAGTGATCTCCAGGATCATGCCCCCCGTGGCGGCTCTTCTGGGGCGCACCCCCTCAATACCTATTTCCTCCAGGGAGATGTTTCCTTTGGCTTTTGCCAAGGCCTGCGCGTACGTACTACCCCCCTCCTTGGGAAGTGTAATGCTTATCGCTGCCGAACGGAGGGGGGGCGCGGCAAGGCCGCAGGTCGTGCTGCAGCCCTTTCCCGCTGGGCCCCAGCGCCCAACCCCGGTCCGGGGCGTCCCCCGACCAACGTCCGCACAGGAGCCGCGGGGACGACCGGCAAGGCTGGCGCCTTTGGCACCTGGGCTTTTTTCTTCCCTTTGCCCTTTTTTCCCTTTCCCCTTTGCGATTGGACCTCCGTCCAGTCGCTTCCCGACTCTGCGGTCTCCGTGCGGGACACCATCCCTTTCCCAGGAATCCCAGGGGGGGCCGGACTGACCGGACCTCCCGGAGAAGCTCAGCCCTCATGGCCTTGAACTTCTCATCCATAAGGCGCGATACCCTGCAGACGATGTCATCCGCGTTGGCATTTGTACCCACCCGCGCGATTGGGGTCAGGGTGGGAGGGGTAGCGGGTTTGCCCACCCCAGCCTTCAACACGTCTACGTCTCTAGTGAGGCGCCTAACGTCTGCCTCGAGTTCTTTTACCCGCGCCTTAAGGCGGAGGTTCTCTTCATTGGCGCTACCCGCAGCCGGTATCCTCATCCCCAGTTCTGTGACTGCTGCCTCGACCACCCTCGAGGCCTCCTTGAGGGTGCGCACGTACCCTCCCATGAGGTTCTTGGAGGTACGCGCTACTTTCTCGATGCTTCTCACACTCTCCACTACCTGCGAGCACAGGTCAACTGCGGGGCACCTCAACATTTCCCCCCCAAGTTCCTCCAGAGTTGGGATACCCCCGCCCGCCGTCCTTGGAGGATCAGGAAGTACCTCATCACCCTCGCTATCGACCGTCCCTATATAGACTCTCTTGGGGGCGGCAGCGCCACTGGCCGGAGGCAGAGCCCGCTTTCTCTTCGGCCGGGCCTCCGAAACTATCGAACTCAGGGAGAAGTCCGACTCCTCGCCGGCTTCAACCCCCGATCCCAAACCCACCGTAGCTATCGAGAGGGATGACCCCGCCGTAGATCCCCCTCGAGTAAGCCCCCGCCTTGTCCGTCCCCGCCAACTAAGGTCAGATGACGAGGGGGGGGGCATATTCCCCACCTCCGCCACCATTTCGATCTCCGCCTCTTGCGTAAAGCCCTCCTGCACCTGAGGTGCACACTCCTCCGAGGTGCTCGCAATGCGCTCACCCGTCTCAACCACTTGTCTTTCCAGCACCGCACTAGTGCTCGCGCCCGCCTCGCGCTCTCCCCCCTCACCACCTCCCCCTACATTTTGGTTATTTTTTATATTATTAGATTCTTCCATGTTAGTCCCACGAGAAGGTCGGAAATGTAGGTCACCCCGCGCAGAGCCGCCTTACGCGGGGAAGCCTTAACAAGTACTCCGGGATTCAGGCAGGTACCCCGGAGGAACCGTTCACGACTGCACTATTTAGCCTCCATGCAGCCATGCACCCATCGGCACGGTGTCTTGACACCTTGGGTTTGGAGGGTACCGGCGAGGGTATCTGGCGAGTACCTGACCAAGATGAGAGCGTATTTTAGCTACCTGAGTCCCCCCTCCCCTTGGAAGCCCAGCTAGATCTGTGTTACAACAACCTACACCCCGATCTAGCCATTCACATCTATCGCGAGGACATTCAAGACTTCTACGATTTTCAATTGAAATGTACCCGAGTAGAGTTATGGCGTGAGCGTGCCGCCAATTATCGTCCACCCCAACCCTCCGCCTACTCCGTCCTTCCCTCCGCGGCGTACGTCCCTCAAGGAGGGCCCAAAAAGGGCCGAACCGCAGCCCTCAGTCCCATCGCCCCTACCCTCCCTTCCGTACCACCTACCCTACCTCTTTCGCCCCAATCCGTTCAAGCAACCCCCTGTCCCGCGGACGACCCCGTGGGAATAGCAGGATTGCTACCACCCACCTCCTATGCCCAAGCCGCCCGCACCCTCCCACGACCAACCCCCTCCCGCAACCCTCCCCCGGCCATCCCCAGCCTCATGGCAAGACAAGCCGCGATGCCCACCCGTAGTTCTCCCACCGCGGCCCGCTCCTATAATTGTAGACAGTCAGGACATATCTATCGCGAGTGTCCCCAACCCTCGGATTCTTTTGTAGAATTTGCGGTCTGCCGGGGTATGACGCGAACACATGTACGCGTTGTCAACGCGTCCGCTCGGGAATCGCTCAAGTGGGGGGAACGCGGGCGAGCTCCCCCCCACGCCATTAATCGCCAACTTGAAGAATGCCCGGGAGAATCGCGTGGAAAATCCTAGCCCCGAGGACCCAATCCGTAGCCAACACCCCCCATTCCCCGACACCCTGCCTTGCGCCGAAGATTCACCCCCCGCGGACCACCAGCCCCTCCACGTATTAGATTCAGTGGATTTCCAAGTAGATGACCCTCGATATCACTTTGCCATTAATCTCTTGGGAAGGCAGCTAGTAGCATTGATAGACCCAGGTTCCACCCGCACGTACTTCGGAGGAGAGTTAGCGGAGGAACTGGGAGTATAGGCCCATAAAGCCACTGGCGGGGTCCAGGTGGCCAATGGAGCAGTAGTCCCGATCATTGGGGAAATTCCCACCCAGTTCGAGGTCAATGGCCACGTAAAAATCCTCCCCGTCCGTGTAGCCCTTTTGAACTACCCCGGAATTCTGGGAATAGATTTTTGTGAACTGTTTGGCATGAAAATTGATTATGGAGCTAGGACATCGACGACCCCCGGGACCACACCTCGAACGTTCCATTCCTACGGGCAAACGTCCCTTGTTATTCCCGCGTACCCCGAATTCGCCGGTTTGATTAAACCCACGCCTTCAGCAGAAGAGAAATTGAAATTTTTACTAGACCGATTGGTGACCGTGAACGCTACCGGAATCCTCAGCGCCACCTCCCTTGTGCAACATTCCATAGATGTCCAGGACCACACTCCCATCCGCCAACGTCCCCGAACCATCTCCCCCTATCTCCTCCAAGTGGCCCAAGCGGACGTAGATAAGATGATGAAGGAAGGAGTTATTGAAAGGTCCGACAGCCCGTGGCTGAGTAACCCCGTGATAAACCCGAAGGCTAACGGAAAGTATCGCTTCTGTGTTGATTTCCGCGATGTGAATAAAGTCACCCAGAAAGACGCGTACCCCCTCCCGAACCTCGATCATATTTTGGATGGCCTTCGTCGTGCCCGGTATATTTCCAAATTAGATCTTATTCAGGCCTATTTCCAAATCCGAGTAGACCCCACAAGTCGCCCCATCACCGCGTCTGCAGTCCCCGGAAGAGGCCTGTGGCAGTTTGTAAGGATGCCCTTCGGGCTGACAAATGCCCCCGCCACTTTTCAGCGTTTGATGGATCGACTGATTAGGCCCGATTAGGAACCCCACGTATTCGCTTATCTAGATGACGTTATCATTGCCACTGAGAGCGAGGAGGAACACTTCAAGTACTTAGAATTAACCCTGCAAGCCCTGTCAGATGCCGGGCTAGAAATTAACCGCGAAAAGACTGAGTTTTTCTGCCCGGAGATGCGGTACCTTGGATACCTCGTAACCCGCGAAGGATTGAAGATCGGGTGGTATGCCCGATTCATGGGAGCTATCTCTGAACTGAAAGTCCCCCTTGTGCGCCTTTCAGAAAAGGACACCAAGTGGCACTGGGGACCCGAGCAACAAGAAGCTTTCGAGGCCCTGCCACACGCCCTTACCCGAAACCCCGTCCTTGCACGTCCCGATTTCATTAAGCCCTTTACTATCCACACGGACGCCAGCGACGTCGCAAACGGCGCCGTGCTCACCCAGTAATTTGATAACGAGGACCACCCGATAGTTTATTGCAGCCGTGTATTGTCGAAGGCCGAGAAGAAGTATAGCGTGACTGAGAAGGAGTGTCTGGCGGTACTGTGGGCCGCGAAAAAATTGAGGCCGTATATCGAGGGCACTTCCTTCCGGGTAGTCACTGACCACAGCAGCTTGCGCTGGCTGCGGAATTTGCGAGACCCCACGGGGAGATTAGCGAGATGGGCCCTAACTATGCAAGAGCTCAATATGGAAATCGTCCATAGAAAAGGAGCCCTTAATGTAGTCCCCGATGCCCTGTCGAGAATGTTCGAGGGAACCATTGAAGTCCTCGCGCCAATTGGAGACTCTGTAGACCCATGGTACGTGGACCAGATGAAAAACGTTCGTGAATTCCTTTTTAAATACCCCGATTGGAAAGTAGAGGACGACCAACTCTATCACCATCGACCCCACCCCATTATTGAACCAGCCCTGAAGGACCTAGATGCGTGGAAACTTGTCCTCCCATATGAAACCCGTTTGAAAGCCATTCAAAATGCCCATGATTCCCCCCAGGCCGGCCACTTAGGAGTTGACAAGACCTACCAGCGGGTACTACAGGACTTTTCGTGGCCCGGCATTTTCCAGGACGTCGCGCGGTTCGTGAAACGGTGCCAGGTCTGTCAGCTCAATAAAGTGCACCAGGGGGCAGCCCCTGGATTAATGCGCGAGCGGACAACCGAGGGCCTGTGGACCGTCGTAGCTGTCGATGTTATGGGACCCTTCCCCCCTAGCAAGGCCCATAATAAATACATAGTAGTCTTTCAAGATCTCTTTACTAAGTATATGGAGGCCAAAGCCCTCCGCACCGCCACAGGACCCACCATTATCAATGCCCTGGAGACCCTTATTATAAACCGATGGGGATGCCCCCGTTTCCTGCTGATGGACAATAGCACGGAATTTGTTAACAAACACGTGACCACCCAGTTAACCACTTGCGCTAAAAAGACGTGCCACGCACGTCGAGATACTTTTGTCTCAAAACCGCGAGCGACGTGTACACCACGTCGATAGCCATTTATCGGAAAAATGAAAATAACGTGGTGCACACGTCGCCTAACAACGAGATTGTTTATTTCTTGAGCTACAGCTCTAGAGTGCACGGCGTCGCACAGTAATAGATTTATATTATTTTTTATCATATCAACCCATATTGTAAAATGGAGAATAATAGTGACCTCAGTGATATAGTTTTGACAAGTACAAGGAGAAAACGATTAATTATTACGTCCGATACTGATACAGATAGCGACTGCGAGGAAATTGTTTGTTCTGTTGGGAAGCGGCATAGAATTATAGTATCTGATGGTGAAGAAGAAAGTAGCAGTGAAGATCGTGAACTTAATTTTACATCTGAAGAATGGATATGGGAAAACAAGGAAAACAATAGCAAAATTTGGCGGTACTCACGGATTCCTGGAATCAATATAGAAATGGCAGAAGAAACTACAGCTTTGCAAATGCTAAACCAAATTTTACCAAAAGACTTTTGGAATATCATTGTTACAGAAACCAATCGTTACGCGAGTCAAACAATAGGAAATACAGCCCGAAAAATAAAACAATCTGAGGAAAATTTGGGGGATACGAATATTGATGAAATTCATGCTTATTTTGCGTTATGCATCTTGATGGCACAAGTGGAAAAGTCGAATGTCCAATCTTATTGGTCAGGAAGAAGTATTATTGAAACTCCCATTTTTCGAAAAACAATGCCATTACGAAGATTCATGCAACTCTCCCGTTTTTTACATTTTTCTAATAATGAAGTTGTGGATAAAGATGATCGTTTGTGCAAATTACGAGATATAATCGATTATCTCAATGAAAAATTTACGAGTATTTACACTCCCGAAGAATATGTGTCATTAGACGAATCTCTAATGAAATATACCGGTCGAATGTCATATAAACAGTTCAATCCATCAAAGAGGGCACGTTTTGGAGTAAAATTTTATAAATTGTGCGAGTCTAAATCAGGATATTGTATCAAATTTAAAATATATACAGGTCAAGATACAGTAAAAAATTCAATCACCAGTGCTTCCGAAAATGTTACCATGTTTATGTGCACACCAATATCCAATTTCGGACACACCTTGTTCTTGGATAATTGGTGTTCTTCGCCAAATCTGTTTCAAAAATTACAATCCATAAAAACTAATGCCATTGGTACAGTTAGATGTAATAGAAAGAATATGCCGAAAGATCTCGCAACGACAAAGCTGAAACGATCAGAAGCTATTTCAAGATCATGCAAGGGAATTTTAGCTGCAAACTGGAAGGACAAAAAAGATATATATTTATTATTTACAAAACATTAAAAAATTGAGATGATGGAAGTAGAAAAGAAGAGATGGGAAACTAATAACATCGTTGTAAAGCCCAATATCGTTTTAGAATATAATGATGGCATGGGTGGGATAGATCTCCAAGATAGCTACTTATCTTCTTTTTCACTTATGAGA